ATACCCCAAATTTACGGACAAAATAAAAACTAATATATGGTGTCTCACATGAGCCGGTTAGGAGGAGCCGACCGCATCCGTACCAACTTGTCCTTTTTTTGTCAAGACATAAAAAAAAATAACAACGAGGTGAGCCGAAGCTCGGTAAGCGGGGTGATGCACGTGATATGCAATGTTGTTTTGACTTCCCACCATACTCATCAATTTTAATATCGGGTACCCCGGGTATTAGCCGATCTACTCTATTTATCATCCGGGTGATCCGCGGATCACCTTCTGCTACGACGGAATTATCCCTCATTGTAACTACTGTTAGCGGGAATCCATCGTCTAACGAGTGCAAGCACATAGCTTGATTTCATCTAGATGATCCTCGGATCATCTTCTCGCTACAACGGAATTATCCCTCGTTATAACTACTATTAGCGAAAATCCATCGTCTAATAGTGCGGGCACATAGCCTAAAGTACTTGGACTACTTATACCCATTTATTCCAGTTAGGTTATCAAACCTAAATGTATAAATCATTTCTCAATCAATTGACTTGTCTTAAACCACCCACTATGCACATGATGCACTCGATGACATATTTAATCACATTCAACCAAATTCGGGTACCAACCCTTCATTCTCATGCCATACTCACGGTCCAATCCACACTCGGTATTTACTCGTTGCTCACATACCAATCATGATACTTATAGCGGGAACACAACCTCCGCTCATTAATATTGTTCATTAGTTTTATTAATATTTAAAAGAAGATCCAAGTCCATTTACTTTATCTTAAGTCCATTTACCTTATTCAATTTCATTTTATTTAGTCCAAGCCCATTTAGTTTATTCCAAACCCATTAATTTTGTCCAAGTCTAATTCTTTAGTTTTAAGATTTATTACCAAGCAACTCCTAATCGACTAAATAATTTTCCAATTTCAGAATATAATTAAATCTTACCCATTTTATTTTAGATACTAGACATATTTATTTATAACATATCCAAAAATTAGGTCTAAACACCAAGTACACAATTAATTACAAATTTTGAAACTTAGGGAGCAATCTGCCTAGTAGTAGTTTGTCTAGAACTATCTGTACTAAATTGGGTATAACTCTTTGTAAACGAATCTAATGACCAAGAAATTTTAAAGGCCGTTATTTGAAACATAGAGGAACAACTTTTATGCTTTAAGTTTCACCTAGAAATCGATCTAAAATCCTTGAAAATACACCCCAAACTTCGGACAGAATTTACTCCTTATCAACACTAATTTATTAGTTCATTCCAAGCCAACTTTAAACATGTTTTAGTTCACTTAAATTTAGTCCAAGTTCAATCCAACCCATCACCACATACTTGGACATTTTTCAAAAAATCATAACATCATAAATCATCACAACAAGGCATCCATACATAGATTTATCCCAAGCATCAAACATATAACCATTGAAGATTATTACAACCTATGAAATAAACACTAACAAAATAACTTAAAAAAAATAATTTAAGACATTAATCAGCCAAGAAATGAAACCTACTTACCTCTTTAGGTTTGATTAGAATTTCTTTAGCTCTTTTTCTTTCCTTTTTCCCTTTTCTTTCTCTTTTCTTTCTTTCTCTCTTTTTCCTGTTTTTCTCTCTTCAATTTGGATTCTCTTTTTAATTCTGGATGGCTACGGTTTTTGGCCTAAAAATGGCAGCCATTTAACCCTCTCTTTCCCTTATATACCCACCTTTTATCCTCTCATTTATTTATATCATAAGTGTTACAATTTAACTAGGCCAAATGTAAAGTGAAGGAAGCTTGGAAGGCAAAGTCGGCATGTTTTGAAAGTCAAAGGTGATGATTTGGCTTCTAAGCATTTAATTCAAGTGCTTAGGTGGCTAAAGAAAACTTAGGATAAATAAAAACATTAATAAGCTGGGTTAATGTAATTAGACAACATTTCTTTCAAAAAAATTCGAAAATTTCCATTTTTAAAATTCAAAATTTCTTTTTCCCCAAAATTTCAGTAGTGTTACCTCCTAACCCATCTATACTAAAATGTGCATAACACTTTCTATATGTATCCAAAATTTATGAAATTTTATAGAGAGCTAGTACACACATAGATAAACAACTTTTATGCTTTACATTTTTCTCAAAAATCAATCTAACAGCATCAAATAAATGTCAAAAGATTTGGGCAGATTCTTCTCCCAAAATTCCAGCAGAATGCATTTCGAAACAACCCTCACTATAATTGGTATAACTCTTAATGTATTGGTACAAAAATTATAAACTTTTATACAGGCCTATTAAACACATAGATGAACAACTTTCATTCTTTAAGGTTGACCCAAAAATTACTCTAAAGGCCTCAAATAATTCACACAAAACTCGGGAAGAATATAGTCCTTAAAACACTCGATTTTGCATATTTGATTTCTTTAATAATCAAACCATTAATCTTAAGCACAATAACTTTAATTTAGCATAAATCACATATTTCAAGCATTAATTTCTCATGATGAAATGATAATTATACTTACTCTTAATATACATATATATAGAATTATTCTAATACACGTCGCGTTACGGATAAGGGTTTTTACGGGGGTTACAACATGTATCCTCCTCCCGGTTATACTCAACCTCCTCACAAGGTTTGCAAACTTCAACGAGCTTTATATGGGCTAAAACAAACACCTCGAGCATGGTTTACAAAATTTAGCTCTACTATTGCTCGATCCGGTTTTTCTTCTAGTCCTCATGACTCTACCTTATTCATTCGTCATACCGATAATGGTATTGTGCTTCTTTTACTCTATATTGATGATATGATTATTACGAGCGATGACACTTCTTGCATTTCGAACTGCAACAATACCTTCATCAGTATTTTGAGATGAAGGATCTTGGCCCTATTAGCTACTTCCAGGCTTTGAAGTAACCCATAACTCGATGGTTACTATTTATCTCAAGCTAAGTATGCTTCGATTTACTTTCTCGGCTGGCATCATAGATAGTAAGATCGTATCCACTCCTTTGGAACTCAATGTTAAACTAACTCCATTGGATGGTACCCCTTTAAATGATCCCACATTGTATCGCCAACTTGTTGGGAGTCTTGTCTACTTTACTCGTCACTTGACTCGATATTGCCTATGTCGTTCATTTAGTGAGCCAATTCATGAGCTCACCTCGTTCTTCTCACTTTGCTGCTTGTACTTTGGATCCTTCGCTATGTTAAGGGGACACTTTTTCATGGCTTACATTTCTCTCGCTCACACTTTTCTAGTCTTATCCGGCTATTCATATGCTCGATTGAGTCGGTGACCCCACCGATCGTCGCTTTACTACCGGGTATTGCTTCTTTTGGGAGACTCTCTCATCTCTTGGCGAAGCAAAAGCAAACTGTAATAGCTCATTCTAGTACTAAATCGTAGTATCGTGCTTTTGCCGATGCCACCTCCGAGTTACTATGGCTTCGTCGGTTGTTATCCGATATGGGCATCCACCATTCATTTGCCACGATTCTCTATTGTGATAATAGAAGTGCTATTCAAATTGCTCACAATGATGTTTTTTATGAACGCACCAAACATATTGAGATTGATTGTCATTTTGTTTGCCACCATGTCACTCGAGGCACTCTGCGTTTGGTATCCGTCTCCTCTGCCGACCGGACATACTGATATTTTCACCAAGACTCATCTTCTCACTCGCTTCTATGACTTACTAAGCAAACTCAAGTTGGTATCTACACTCCCACCTTGAGTTTGAGGGAGGGAGTGTTAACGGTATTAGTGGCTATAATATAGGCTATAAAATAGGCCTATGATAATAGGATTTTATGTATAGCTTTTCCTTTCCTTGTATAGCTTTTGTTTCCTTTCTTTAGACTATCTTATTTTGTGTGTGTGTGTATATATATATATATATATATCTAGGGTCGATGTACTAAAAACACATGAAATATACAAGATTTTCTATTCATCACAATATGGATAGAGGAAATCCAACCATTCTATCGATTGAAAACACAATTAAATAAAAACATCATTGCAACGAATTTATAGACATCAAAATTATATAATTCCATCGATAAAAATAAGGGATATATGAATTTGAAGATTTTAGATTAAAAAGTAAAAAATTAAATTCTAGTATAATATAGTTGTTTAATAATGATTTTTGAGGTTGTATTTGAGTTTAGGAAGTTTTAGAGGGTATTTCAATGTGTTTTTGGGTGTGAAAATTACAATTTGAGTGTCTATATTTTTTTTTTCCTGTTTGAGTATCCAACTAATAAATCCTTTTATTTAAATATTAAGTTTTGTTTTGTTTTTTTTTTCTTCCTTTTGAGTGCTCCCGATCGGATGAGACTCGTATAATATTGATATATTCGGAATGAATTGCTACATGACAAAAAAGCTAGTTTTGCTTAGATTATTCGAAAAAATTCAAAAGTTTTTTTAGAAAAAACTACAATTTAAATGCCTAATTTTTTTTATTTTTCCATTTAAGTATTCAATATTTGATTTTTTTTTCTATTTGAGTTTTTTTCAATCACCCAACATGATCGGATCCACATGGCAGCTTTTTATTTACACCTGGTAAAAAATGAACCCAACTTGTATTTATTGAAAAAAATTATAAAAAATAGATAGAAATATTAAAAAAATCAAAATCAATTACTGTTTAGTTGAGTGTAAATAAACAAAAGGATCCAATAGAAAAATGTTTGAATCGTACAAGATTTTACTAAAACCTTTTTCGTTTTAGATGAAATTGATAACTGAGTAATAATATAGGGAGTAACCTGAAATTTTCCTAAAAATTCTTGTTGGCGGGAGGCGATGGGCGGGCTAAAGTGTTATTATTAATTGCAGAAAGGGGAAAAAATGGAATTCCCAGAAAGCCCTCGTCCCTCGAAGGGGTGTGGTTTATTTATTTGCAGAAACGAAAAAGGAAACCCTACATTCTGATTTGTGTCGAAATAGTTACAGTAAACCAATGGAGGATGGGGCAGATAAGAAGAGAGCAAGGGAGGAAAAGCAATTGAATCAGGAAGAAAATGTAATACTACTTAATGGGTACAAGAAGAAGAAGGATTTTGAGTGTACTGATGGCATAGAAGAAGAGGGATATGGAAGAAAAAGAGGAGAGATATTACAGGATGAAAAGGATAGAAGGGCAAAAGAAATAGCTAATCGTGTGGAGATGCTTTCAAGATTCGAGTATACTGGTGGTTGTGGCAAAGTCGAAGGGCCAGGACATGCCTCCTCATCTTCCTCTTCCTCTATTCGACTTTCAATTAAGAAAGTTGAAAAAGGAAGAGGTCAGAAGAAGATGAAAAACAAAATAACCCAACTCACGGCTTCTCAGAAGCGAGATGTGGCATACCTAAGAAGAAGCCCAGACAACAACTGGGTGCCTCCCAAATCACCCCATAAGCTCCTCCAAGAGAATCATGCTCATGATCCTTGGAGAGTTGTGGTGATATGCATGCTGCTTAATTGCACATCTGGTGCCCAGGTAAGTATCCTTCCAAACAAACTCGTTTGGTTATTTCAATTGCCAAAAAGATTATTGGAATTATCCATTTGGTTAGCAAATCCATGTTTCTTAGGGTGTTATTTGTTGAAATTTTAGTTTCTTTGGTTATTCTCCATCTGGTGTCCAAGTAAGTGTCAAAAATTGAAATCAATTGATCTTAACTTATTTAGATTTTTCAATTCAAAAAGATTATGACTTTGATTGATTGCTTCGGTTATTAATTACGATCTGCATTTATTTCTTATCTTGTTAGTGGAAATTATATTTTCACTTTGTGGATGAATGTTGTTACTTGTCAGTTGTCACAAAAAAGTTCACAAATGAAAATTAGTCAGGGAAATACAAGAAGCAACAGAAGAAGCAGAATACAAATAAAAACTTAATGGGACTTTAAGCTTGCTTTATTCTTCTTCTCGTTACTTAGCATTTGGTTGATTAAACTGCATGCTTGAACTACCACATTTCTCATTACAGGTTAAACCACTTTTAAATGACTTCTTTGCTCTGTGTCCTGATGCAAAGACCACCATTGACGTTGCCAATAAAAAGATATCAGAGCTCACTAAAAGTTTAGGCTTACAAAATAAGAGGGCAGCGGCGATAAAACTCTTTTCTGAAGAGTATTTGAAAGAGGGCTGGACCCATGTCACCTATTTGCCTGGTGTTGGAAAGTAGGGAAATTTCTGTCCATTCTTTTATCTCCCATTACTATTGCATTAATGCCTTTTCAAACTCATCTTCAAGCAAATCTGGTTGATTTTTTCAATTTCTTGTCTGATTGTTGTTTAGGTATGCTGCTGATGCATATGCAATATTTTGTACTGGGAACTGGCATAGGGTGGTACCTAACGATCACAAGCTGAACGAATATTGGGAATTCCTTTGGAGGGAATTCGTAAGGAAGGTTGAGGGCACTCTCTAATATATCATAGATGGATGTGTCTGTTTCGTATTTTGAATTGACAAATTAGTTGGGGGTTAATTTGTAGTATATTATAATGTTGTTAATGTTAGGTCTTTTGCAACCAAACTTGTAAACTGTTTACGGCAAATTAAACCCCCGATCAATGACTAGTTGTAATTTTCCAGTTAAGTATGTATGGATACTATTTAGCTACTGAAGTAGTAACATTTAAGAATTGTTCCAACTGCTGTGGCTTGTTTATTGTTTTGCAGTTCATTTGTGGCTTGTTGACTTGGTGCTCTATATTCTACTCACAATTTTTTATAGTGTCTAACTTGCTGAAATTCCTCCTCTTGGATCAGATCTCTTGAATTTCTTGTAAAATGTATATTGCAACGTTTTTAACATCAGCTCTCTACAGGCTTTGCTGCAGGCGCTTGGGGATGGTAAAGGAGTAATCGGTTTAGTGAATTCTCAGTTCCTCTTGTTGAGGCATTATTACATGTTTATTGGTAAATTCTACATGGTGGTTGTCATATAAATATCACCATGTACCATCTTTTTTCCGACCACTCCAAACGCTCCAATAAAAGGGTATTCTAAATGGTGAATTCTCAGTTCCTCTTGGTGTTTTTAACCAAACACCTCTTCTTTTTTCCCACCACTCCAAAAGCTCCACCATTCTAAAAGCTTCACCACCATAAAAGTTTGCACGCAGCTACCACTACCCTCTAAGCTGAACAGATTTAGTCATGAGTATGTGGTTGTCATTCACGCATGTGCAAGAAGCATGGTGATGATTGCACAGTAGCATCACTCGTAACTTTCATAGGTCTGGTGGTTTTGGAAAACACAGAAGAATGACATCCAAGAATTAGTTTTATCATCATGATGCTTTTAAATGTGTGAGATGGACATTACAATTACATTACATTACATTACAAATTACAAAAGACACTAAAAGAAATGGGTTTTTTGCTGTTTATAAATTGTTCGTTTACACTGACTTCGCTGTAGACAAGGACTCGATCTTACTCTGTTGCATTTCTCTATGCATTTCAGCTGTAGACACTAAAAGAAATGGGTTTTGTTTCATCTGCTTCTTTGGTTTACCAGTACTGTTGCAAAACCATTTTTCTTTTTTTCTTCCACCTTTCTTTTTTCCCAATTGTTAATTTAATGCCCTTATAATGTTTACTTAATTGCTATTGTGCCACTTGGTGGTGGTGTCAAGTTATGTTTTTACCCTTGCTTTCTTCTTTTTCCTTCTCGTCTTTTGACCTTTTTTGGATTAATGCTCAACGATAATGCTTTTGTTGCGCTTTTTTTCTTTCCTTGGAATACGTATGTTGTGAGTTTAATTATGTTTTTATTTGGTTTTTTAAATTTCAAAATATTTAAAATGATTCTAAACTATATATGATTAATTTGAAACATATTTAACAAAAGTTAAATGTTTTTTTTTAAAAAAAATAGATATTGAAATAGTTAATATGATTTAAAGTTGTGTTAATTAATGAGATAACTTTATATGATTACTTAAAATAGAATCTAATTTTTTTTATTAATTCAAAATGTTTAAAATGATCCTAAATTATATATGATTAATTTAAAATAAATTTAACAATAATTAAATATTTTTAGAAGAGTGGATATTGCAATAGTTAACATGATCTAAAATTATGTTAATTAATGAGATAATTTTATATGGTCATCTAAAATAGAATCTATTTTTTTTATATTAATTTTGGAACATATTTGAGGGATATCCATTATTGTATTATAAGACTTTAGTTTGAAATATTTATGTTTCATGTTTTTGAATTTATGTATTTTGTTTTGATTTATAATTTAATTTTGTTTATTGAATTATTTAAAATTATTTCATAAATTTCATTTAAATATTTTATTGGATTGAATATTTAAATAAAATTTTTAAGGTATTGCAAAAAAACCATTAAAATTTTCAAAATGAGAATAATGATATCTAGAAATGTACGTAAAAAACTTTAATAAGTTTTGATATATAAATATCAAAGAAGTTAAAAGCAAAAGGATCGTTATTATTTTTTTTAAAAAAAAGGTGAACTTATTATTATTACAAAGTAACTAAAACAATTAAAACAAAAACAAAATCACTATTTACATGTTGTTCATTATCTCTTATTTCATTATTCATTTACTTAGATTATCTTTAAATCACAATTCATTCATTGTGCATGTATAATGTTTTGTCTAAAAATATGTACTTTTGTCTCTACATGCTAAGAAGAGAGATAAACAAATGGGAGGGAGGGCCGACGAAGCTCATTCTAACCACCCTAATGGAATTTTATCATCACTTTGTTCGTCTCAGAATAATAAAATTTATTTGTGATGGTGACAAACTATGAAATAATTTGAGGATTTAGATAAAAAATATTTTGATTTGAATTTTAGTGTGTGTGTGTGTGTGTTTTGCAGTAAAAAGAGTTTTGAGGTTTCAAAATGGTTTGTTTATGTTATTTATGTGATTTTATGGTGTATTTGGATAAAAATAGAGCTGAATTTGGCTTTTGGATACTAGAAATTAAGAAACTCAACTTTCCGACGAAATGGACTTCATCAAACGTTGCAGAATTTGCCAGAAAATTAAACCAGTCTATTTTTTTTGTTTTGTCTAGGCGTGTGGGCCTGGTCCATGGTTTTTCTTTGTTTTCCTCTATTTTTTAATTAAGATTTTTTAGCCAAAAAATGATGATACATCGCACGTTGTTATTTGTGTTTTTTCGCACAGCGTATAAGAATAAAATATATATATTAATTTTTTATATTTTAAAATTAATATATATTTCAGATTATGTAAAAGGTAATCAAATATGGATTAAAATCAAATCGAACTAAAATATCAATTTTAATTCTGTTTTTGATTAAAATTGTGAAGAAAAACTCAAAATAATTTCGGTTCAGTTCGATTTTTTAGAATTTTAATTCGGTTTAAACCAAAACAAATTATTTATTTATTATATTATTTTTAGAAAACAAAACAACTTTCATTTACTCATTTTACCGTAACCCTAAGTCATACTACTCTAACAGGCAGGCGTAACTTCAAGCCCGCAACAAATACTCTCTCCGTCGCTCATTAGTGTTGCAGTCGTCTCTCTATCAATTTTACAGCCTAAAGTTGCTGTCTGCTACCCATGACCCAGCCACCCTCCCTACCCCAGCATAACCCCTGCAAAAATAAGTAAATCACAATCCATCTCCCTTCAACCTTCATCTTTTCGACCTACCCTCAATTCAACTGTCAAAGGTCTAGACTCTCTCTTGCTCACCACCAACCTCTCCCTCTTCATCTGATAGTCATACTACTCTTCCTTCTGCTGTAGCCAGTCCTCTCCTCTCGGTCTCGGCTTCGACATTCCAGATTAGTTATTTTTGGGTATGTGAAGGGTTTGTTTCTAATTTTCATGTGTTTGATATAATAATTTTTCAAATTTTAATATTTTAATGTGGTTTTTTTAATAGGGAATGGCATTGCCAAGACTCGGAAGTAAATGAAATCCATTTAATTATGTAGATTTTTTATTTATTTATTTGAGTTAATGAATGGTATTATACTATTCATGTATTTTAATAAATGAACCATTGGTGAAGCCTTTTAAAATTGTTGCAATCGAGCAGTTGATGGTCAATTTGAAGGTATGACTATGCTGAGAAGAGAGGACAGTTTCAGCCATTAGAATAATTGGAATAATAGAGGGCAGCTTCAGGCCTATGAATAACTGGAATAATAGTAGTTTGAGAAACAGTGGTTAAAGCCTAGGAAAATATTTGCAGGTTAACTTTTGGATAGAAGCCCAAAGCCCATTCAGAAAATAATGCAAGGGAAGGACGCAAGGCTGCCTAGGCAATGACCCAGCCCATATGCTAATAAATAAAAAGTTATTGAATAGAGTTCTAAAGCCCATTAAAAAAATCGGTTAAACCGAATAAATCAAAATCGAAATTTTGGTTTTTTAATTAAAAAACCAAGATTTAATTTGGCTTGATTTCAGTTTTTATTTTTTCTAATTCGGTTAACTGAAAATTGAATCAAAATTGATCAAAACCAAAACGAATAACTCGTTTGTTCACCGAGTAGATTCTATTACTCTTACTATTTAAATTTTATTCTTTAAATTTTTTATTTTTTTATGAAGATTCTCATTCAATTAATAATTTTTATATAAATTTTTATTTACTGATAAATATGATTAATATTTCTCTAAATTTGAATTTTAGAATAAAAATTTAAAACCATAATTTTTTAAAAACATAAATTGATATAATTATATATTATGAATTCTTAGAATTTTTAAATTATAGTTTCATATATATAAAAATATAATTATTTTAATCTAAAAGGTTGAAAGTGTATTTTAAATAATTTATCTCGGTCTATAGGTATGGTCAAAATATATAAAAAAAACTATTGAATTATCGGTTTTATGAAAAATTAATTACATATCTTTATACACACTAACTATTTGACGGGAATATTTTTTTTAACATTATAAAACTAATTTTTTCAAACAAAATAATTAAAAGAACCGATCAATTATTCAAATCTAGTTTTTATGCTAAAATATTGATTATTTTGTGTATATATATATACTTTTAAAAATAATTTTCTCATAAGCATTAAATAAGAATAATTTTTTATTAATTATTTTTTTATATAAGTCTATACATTAATTATAACTTTATTTTTTGATATTTTTTTATGAAAAATATATTTTTAATATATATATTTTTTAATTTTTTATTAATATTTCAGTTTAAATTATTATAATTTTTTATTTAAAAATCAATGCATAAAAAATAAATCATTTTTTTAAGTAAAAAATTTATGAAAAATTAATAAAAAATTATAGGGTTATAAAATGATTTTATTCTATTTAATTGTAGCGTCATGCGGTTAGACGACTAGTTGTGAGCCTATGACGTCACAAGGGTGGGATTAGGTGACGTTCGAAAGAGATACTAGGCATAGTTGTGGCATTAACTCGTGCAAATATGATTGTGCCTATGGAGCATCTAGGAGCATGATTATGTGGACCCATGAGCTTCCGATTGGGGCCATGGACAACACGGTAGCTCCTGTTAAAGAATAATATGTAGATTGTTTTGGTAGGGGTAGATACAACGAGATTCTAATTGTTGCTCTTTTTTTTTTCAAAAAAAAAAAGGAATTCTTCATAGTTTAATTTTAAATTTTGTACGGACGTTAGGGGAAAAAAAATCAATTTGTTTTTTTTTTCAACTTTAAAATTTTAGAAAATTGAGAAAATAGAAAATAACTTGAAATAATCTTACCCTGTGTTCGGATAGGGAGGAAAGTGAAGGAGAGGAAAGAAAATTTTTCTTCGTTTGTTTTGGGGAAGAAAACGAGTGGAAAGAAAAAATATATTAAACAATCCTATAAATTGTGGGACCCATTTTCCTCTCAAAATTAGGAGGAAACTAGGAGGAAAAACGTGATACATCAATTTTTTTTTCATTTACATTTTTGCTCTCTACCTCGGCTCGTCGCCCTCCTTTGCTAACTCTCTGTAGTTTAACAAAACGGATCCGCAAATCAAATGAGTATTTCCTTCATTTTGGGCAAGCTGATCTCGGGGTAAGAGGGTAAAAAGAAAACCCAAATAACAATGGCGAAACACTTCGAAATAGCAACTCCGTCGCGGCCTAGCCAACTGCAACGGCGGAGACCGGCATCCTTGCGGATCGGTCCGGCTTCTTCCTCTTGTTGGAACACTGCGATTCCTCCTTTGTCTCCGTTTAATACGTCGCCTATGATGATGGATATCAAGTCTCGAGAGGTTCCGTTGTCGTTGTCGAGGAATCGGGGAACGGAGCGAAAAAGTCAATAGTGTTCAAGAAGTGGCACCACCCGGTGGCTCCTTTTTTTGGGTTTTTACTCGGGAAGTAATGGAAGAATTGTGTATAATGTACCTATTGTTGCCTATTTTTTAATTTTTTTATTACAAGTTGAAAATTTAAATAGTAGGCTTCAAATTGCTAGTTGTAGCCTTAAAATTTATTAGAGGCTATTGGCATCTTTTAATTTTTTCCATTTTTTCAAAAATTTTGAAAGCTAAACAAAATGATTTTCGAAGCATTGAGTGGTAACTCGTAGTAATTGATGGTTTTTTACTCTTTTTATTTATTTTTATTATCCAAGCAAATAAATTTCTACCCAAATATAAGTCTGTAATTGTTAATGTGCTAAAAGCTACTTCGTATTTGACAATAAAAATAAAAACTATAGTATTTGATAAATAGTTGTTATATAGTTTGATAAGATATAAGGTTTTGGTGGATGTGTTAAAAGCTATAAAATTTTATTGCTCGTGCAACTTTTGAGATGGATTTCTTATACCAATTCTACTAATGCAAGGTTGCCTAAAAATTGAAATGATATCTCGGCCAAAACACCGGGAAAAAAAGCGTTTTTTTTCCTTCGCTTTTAGAATGGTTAGAACAATCAATTTGTAGAAGAAATTCCCAGAAAAATCTAGTTTAACAATAAAACAAATTCCCTCAAATTTAAGCTACGAATTAGGGATCTTAATTAAGCATCTTCTACTAGGATTGATCACTCGAAGTTCGGTTTCACCCACCGATCGACAATAACGTATCCCGAACATGATTTTAGAGGAGGCAAGAACAAGATTAAAAATATAATTTCAACCTTGAGTTAGCATTTAATATATATATATATATATATATATATATATATATATATATATATATATATATATATATATATATATATATATCAAGTTAAATTATCAAAAATTTGTCATTTCGGATAGATGCTACATGCTAAATGTTTATTTTATTATCATTTGTGCAATTTTAATGAAAAAAATATTCATACAAATTTATTTGTACAAATTTATTATAAGTATTTAAATATAGAAATGTAATCATAGGGGTATTATAGTAAATATATAATAATACATTTTTTTTTCTCTCTTTCTACAATTATCCAAACAAGAAAAATATACTTTCTTTCCTTTCACTTCCACCCTTATACAAACAACAAGTGAAAATTAGTTTTTTTCCTCTCATTTTTCTTTCTTCTCACTTTCTTTCCTCCCAAGAGGAAACATCCAAACACAAGGTTAAAGTTTTTGTGGAGTTCCATGTAAATCTTATAAATTTATCAAGATTTATCATGGTGGTTTTGGTGCATGAAGAAACATGCTTTCTTGCCAGAATGCAGAATACCTAGCCGCAAGCGTTTCATGACCATCTTATGCAGCTTCGCACCAATAACGTGTAGCCTCTTATATGCAAAAGGCATGCCAGTGGCAAGGGTAGAGACTAATAGTCCAAATTGTCACCTCTAAAAAATTCAATTCTAATGCATCTTGGTAAAAATTTAGTCTATTTTTAGGTAAGGAAGTACGTATTTTTTCCTTCCAAAATGTTACAAATTCATCAAATATGGAAAAATAAGAAACAATCCCAAATTTTGTGGGGAGCCCTAGAAAAAGGTGACAGACTGTATATATGGATGGTTTTCTTGCTGAAAACAGCTCTTTTTCCTTGCAGAATGTGAAATGCCCAGCTGCACGTTCTTTGCGGCAGCTCTTTATGTCTGGGTCTGGCACCAGTTTTGTCAGGCTGCATCGCTAGGCCCGGGCACTGCATGATGCCACCGGGAGCACGAGATGTGTTTCGCTTTTTCCTTTTTTTCCTACCAGAACATGCTTATCTTATATATTTTTGGTCATAAAAACTCAATCGTACAGATATTTCATAAGGAATCCATTAAAGAGCTTAATGGGTTTGGTCCTTCTAATTTATTGGGTCCATAGCCTGTATAAATTTTAATATAAAAGATGAATAAGAATAATAATAATAATTAAAAAAAAAAACATATGCGTCATTATGACTTTTAGCAAGGTATAGACATTTTAGTTTATATCCTACTAATACCCACTATTTAAAAAAAAAAAATTAGTGAATATGTTTTTTTTTATCGGGTCGTGAGTGGATTTAATATTTTTTTTTAGTGTGTAATAAGGAACCTTATTGCACAAACTTTATAAAGTAGGGACTTAAATATTTTTATGAAAAATTTAAGAACCTTAAAACTTATAATAAAAGAATAAATTGTAAAAAAAAATTAAAGGACCAAATAAATTTATTTAAAAAGAACAAGGATTAAATTTTGATAAATTAGTTTTTATCCGTATTAAATAGAGGGATAAACTAAATATAAATCCGATATGAATTTAGAAGATAACTTTTTAATAAGTATAGATAAAATATATTTTTAACAGATAGGATAACAAATTGAACCTATATGTCAATACGTTATTGAGGTTTAATATATTCTACTTCTCTTTCTTAAGAGGTATGAACATGCCCAGGGAAACTTTCATGAGTAAAAATTATATATTTCCTTATCTTATTGAAAATTATGGTTGACTTCGTAGGTTGGTACAAAGCTCTGAAACAAAGCTTGATGGTAGGTTGATTCAGGTAGGGCTCATCGTTTAGTTTTTTGATTCGATTTTACTTTTTTTTTATTAATTTTTAATTAACTAAATTGACTAAAACAAAAACTAAAATCGAACCGAATTGAGGTTCGGTTTTTCGGTTAACAACCGATTTTTTTTGCCTTCTAAAAACCGAATAATTGCTTTTAAAAAATTGTCACACTTGCATAGTAATTGAGTACTGTTTTCAATAGTGATTGATTTTATTTATTTATTTTTGGAGGTCATCACTTATTTAAATTACAATTTATAAAGAAATAAGTTAATTCACTTAATAAAAACATTATAACTTTTATAACAATTTAACTTTACAACTCGTTGTCATGAATATCATCTCGTTATTTGAATCTTATACTCCAATTAATAAATACACTTTTCTTTATTTATTGAGCCACAACTTAATCAAAGATTGCATATTTCGCATTTGATTTTATAAGAAAATTGTGTAAGATTATTATTATTTTTATATACTAAATTGTTTCTATTTATATTATAAATTAGATTGGTTGGGCTTCTTATTATTTTTTCAATCATGCTACAATTGATTTTTTGTTAATTTTTCATATTTTTTAATCTCCTTATTTTTTTCATATTTTATTATTGAATAGATAATATGAAAAATCTAATTTTTAATTTATGTTTGTTATAAGCATAAAAAGAGTGAAAAAAAATTCTTATTTAGTTGTTATTAATACTACTGTTATAAATGTTGCGGCTTGGGGTCAATTTTTTTTAGTGGATATTTTTATGCCAATTTTGATATAAGGAGACAATTTCTTCTCCATGAGGTTTTAGGATTCACCCACACATAAACTTATGTATTTACAAAAAATTACTTTATCACGGTCTTTTTTTATTTGTTTGTGAGTTACTATAATATAATCAATTATTTTATTAAATAATTAATGAAAAATCCTTCTATTTTAAGTAGAAAAAAATCATTAAAGCTATTGTTTTTTTTGTTAAACCCATAGGTGCCTCTTTTATTATTATTATTATTTTAAAGAGCTTGGGTGTGTTAAAAAAAAAAAAACACTAATTTGGTTTTTGGTGGAAATCGAATTTTTTTTTTAAAAAAAAACCAAACCGAACTGAAACAATTTCAGTTTTCAGTTTCAGTTTTTTTTCAATTTTTTTTTTTATAAAACCAAACCGAATTGCTAATTCAATTCGGCTCGATTTAGTTTTTCGGTTTTAACCGAATAATGCTCACCCCTATTCAATGGAGCTATATCTATACCGCAAATTGTTAGTTGGATGGTAAGAAAGTATGAAATGTACATTTCAATGACTGATTTCAAATCGAATTAAAATTTGAGAAATTGAATTGTAGGTGATCCAAGTATTTACTTGTTCCATATAACAAAAGAAATTCTCATTAAAAAAAAAAAAAAAAAAGATTAATCGAATAAAACGATTATCTACTCTTCTGATTTTCTTAATATGATCTCCATATTCTTTTATTATTATTATTATTATTATTATTATTATTCATTTTTCTATTCTTAAATTTTTCTTAGTGTAGTCCTTTTGTCTGTTTTTCGATCAATTTTTTTTTATTTATTAAAACTGACCATTGACATAAAAATATTCCATATGGCATAATACATCAGATTAATTTGCCATGTGATGAAAAAAAAAAGAAAAAAAAATTAAAAAACTATCCTTGATCACCTCTCAAATTTTTCAATCCTTCTTTCTTCAACAGCGAGAAAAAATTGCTAGAAAGTTCGTTAATTGAATTCATATTCCCTTTACCATTTCATGTTCAACTTGAAATGAAAATGCTGTACCGAGAACCAACAGGAGGAAGCAAGGAAACTCTATCTCTAGCGGGAACCGAATACTTTCCATGAATTGCCTCCGGCATGCCTTTCCATATATGGCATCTTATGCAGTTCCTCAACTAGCCAAATACAATCCCTGGTCAAAGAGCAAATGGAAGTCAAAAAGTTAGCCCCCATCAAGCATTTTAAGAAAGAAAATGTAGCTTAGCATTTTAAAAACCTTAGCTGTTCCTTTGAATAGCCTGTGTAAAGTTTTAATGTCTTGCTCCAATTAGGCTTCTGGTGTAAGGTGCAGAGGGCAACATAAACTGCTGAGGCAGCGACCATTGATGGAGAGTACTTACTTGTCTGTGTCATAATACATCAGAACAAGTTCCATGAGGAAACACACCATGATTTTCATCTTTTAATGCAGGAAAGTAAACAATATTGATATACCATTCAATTAAGCTTAACAACATTGTAATAACATAGCTTGAATAAGATTAAATCACATGATGCCATTGCATTAACCTTAATGCAAGCTTCGAGGTAGTGTTTGATGAAATGATAACGTGTTGGGATTGTCCAATTCACGGAAATTTTCTGTTTTTTTCATTTCTTTCAAGTGGGAAATTAATCTACCGTATCATGTCATCTAAAACTTTTTATGTCAACTGCAGTTTTTATAAATAATGATTTTCGTAACTAAAAAAAAAATAATGATTCAGTCACGGATAGGATGACATAACATAATCAAAGTTGTCGAATTGATCCATCAAGTACAACTAAATTTATAATTTATAAATTTTTTTTCACATTTGGTTTTCATGATAGGAGTATTATCTTCTTCTTTTTTTTAATACTCTGACACTAGGGTCTACCAATGATTCTAATTATATTGGGCTACCTGAATTTGGATTAGAAGTTATTGATTTTATTTACCACTAGTCTTGTGAGCTAATTTTAAACCCGAATTTGCATATCTTTATTGCCCGAAAAAAGGGAAACTTATTATATGTGCTTTGATCTTTTCAGATTGTCCAACCATGCGTGCATTGGACCTACGTACAAGAAGTTGTAACTATTTTAGTTTTATTGTGCAGATTGTCATTTTAAGCTTTCTAGGCATCTGTTTACATTCTCAATAAATCAAAAACACGTAGTAGTTCTTGTAAGTCTAGATTTTCGTCAAAGCCATTTATTTTGGCCTAGATTCTATCATTTGGTTTAGACTTGGAGGGTTGTTCCAAATATATATTGAACATTCAGCCATGTATTTTAAAATCTTATGTATCTTTTTGTAATTATTGAACTAACCCTTAGTTTTGTATTTCTAAAATGGTGATTTAATATGTATCTTTAAAGTGGTGGAGAGCAAAAACTGTCCTTTGTGTGTAGACCGTTACTAGCCTATATCTACCATCCCACCAGCGTCATACTCCAGATTTTTTCTTTTAGAAGCTAGTGAATGCATCTTGCCGTTGCAATCGTGCTTTAAAAGTGCAACTTGGCTCTGGCCCTGCTATTAGCTTAACTTGAACATCAGACTATCAGAGAGCTCCTGGCAGCCTTTAACACCAATAATAGGCACAAAGTTTCACAATGTTCTAAACCCAGGATTCCGGATAGAGCCAAAGGATTATATATCGAATAGGCATTAAACCTTTGGTTCAAATGTAGCACAAGTTGTGAGTTAAATCTGTTACCTTTTTACTGCATATCTAGGCAATGGTTTCGCCATATTCTTGACTCTCACATCAAAAGACACATGTCCACTGCGCCTGGGCAAGGAAAAGGAAGGAGATAATTAAGCTCATTGAGCATGTACATTACAGCTTAAGATATTATAGAGCATAATTGATTGTTACTTGCTCAAGACTAAGTTGTCCTCCTGACTGAAGTGAAATATATTTATATATATACACACAGTATCATGAACCAAAAAAGGTATTGATACAGTGCAGCAGCTCTGTAGAATAGTGAGTCCAGACAGAGACTGAAACACGTGGCTTTCACAGATGATTATACAGGATGCAAAAGATGGTTCTAAAAGTTTTACAAAGAAAAATAGTAATTTATCTTAGGAATAGACTAATTTACTTTCAAGTTTCTGACATTTTAGTGTAGTTATACGTCAGTCCCTGCATTTCTCAAAAATCTCTATTACAAGGTGAAAACTAATGGTTAAAAGAAATGGGTGAAACTTTACTACGCCAGTAATGATTTATTTTTGCTCAATATGCTCTACCGAGACCACTGGGAATCATATAAGACTAGTTATTAAGAATGTAAAATTAGTTCTTAAAAAGGTTGGCAATAGTTTAAAAAATCTATAGTATAATTAGCTCTAATGAGAGTATTTAAGACAACCTTAAACAATATACACTGATTACTTCTGATGACAATTTGTAAACATAATAGAGAAACAATCAGTTATAAGGAAGAAGAAAAGGTACAAACAAAACAACCCCACAACAAAATTTTCAAGAAACAAGCTTAATTGTTATACCATGATAATTCGCAAATTCACAATTATAATAATTTAATTCTTGATGATGGAGACTAATGGTAAGTTTAGAGAGAAACTAAATAATTTCATCCCCTCTCTGTAGAAAGATACTGAGTGATCTAAGTAGATAAATCAAAGCTAACCTGAATCAGCATTAAAGCATGCAAGATGAGATCAACAAGAAAGCTTTTGGTGGAATAAGCCCTGACTTGCCATATAATTCTTTTGGCCAATCGAAAGGATTTCATTTGATTGCTTTGAACCTTTTAGGGTCTCCTCCATCATCCTCCAAGTCATTTGTGCTGGATTCTGCACCACTCTTGAAGCCACTCCCACTGGGTTCTGCCTCATTGTCCCACTTGTATTCACGGCATCTTTTGGTTTTGCCCCAATCAGCATTCATCATTTGTTCTAACAACTGTCTGAAATCCACAAAAGTTGCCGCAGACACCTCATGGCATGGCAAGAAAAAATCACAATAGTTCTCAACTTGGGGGTATAGCAGGCGAACCCCACACTTGCTCACATGACAACAATGTAAGGGATTGTTGTCCATATCTTCCACGGAGAATTCAACTAAAACCTCACTGTATTTACCATACCAATAATCTTTTGTTGCATTCAAACAGGGATCATACCCGAAAAATAGGTGATCTGACTTGATAAATCGCTTGTGCAATGAGCCATAGCAACTGGCGAAGTAGCAATGGAGACCATAGAAATCAGCACGGTCATTCTTAAAATGGTATGTACATTTAATTTGGAATCCACCAGAGTCATTGTAAGAGGGTTCAAATGCAACAACAGTGCACAGCATGAAACCCAATAACTCACTACTAGCACAATGTGAAGGCAGCTGAATTGTCACTGAAGCTGCTGAATTCTGACAGACAAACCACGATGGAAGTATGCATCCAGGGAAGCAAAAACTAGATACCCCAACCGCTACAGATAAAATCTGCACCATGAAAACCATGCTCAACTATACATCCACGAAAACACGAGATCAATAAGAGTAACAAGAGATTATAAGGCAGGGCTGAATGTGTGTGTTTGTGCTTGTGTGTGTGTGTGTGTGTGTGTGTGTGTGTGTGAGAGAGAGAGAGAGAGAGAGAGACCTCACTGTAAAGTCTTTTGACATATCGCTGAATTTTCAAGAGTGAGTATGCCATGATATTGGTTTTTGCAATCCCGCCCAACTTGAAACAATTAGTAAAAACAAATTCAAAAATGTTTCCATCAACTATAGTTGATGATCTTGGTACTACTGTCAGAGATGTGCAATTATGTGCATCTAGTTTTGCAAGCAGTGGTGGAAGTTTTGGTAATGACACAAGCCTCACGCAATACCTTAAGTCAAGGTACTGCAACTCACTGAGTTTACTGATTTTTAAAGGCAGACTAACAAATTTGTTTCTACTCAGATCCAATGCTTCCAGAGAGGTTAAGCAGCAAAAACTGTCAGGCACTTCCAGTATTCCACAACCACTTAGATTTAGCTTGCGCAGATATTTTAAATCCACATCCTCCTTGAGCAATTGCAAGTTACCAAGATATTTTCCTTCTAGATAATTACAATTTCCCAATTCCAAGCAACTAAGCCCCTTTAGATTTCTAATTGGCGAGGGTAAATTTGTTATGCCTGTTCTGTCCAAATAAAGATATCTCAAAGATTCCATTGTCTGTGAAATTTCAGGGAATCTCTTAAATTGGGAGCAACCTGAGAGGTTGAGCTTTTGCAGAGATTTCAACTTACAGATATTCCCTGGAAGAATCTCAAATCTTGTACAGTTCCGTAGATGCAATTCCACAAGGTTGGAAAAACACTCAATTGATGATGGAATTTCTTCTATTGCTGTCCCATCCAAATACAGCTCTTTTATATTCCACGAAACATTTGGAAACTCAGCGATGCTGGAGCAGCCAGAGAGATTAAGTTTCTCAAGATATGCCAACTTATAAATGGTACTTGGAAGATTCTTGAGCCTTTCGCAGTTGGACAGATCCAACAAAGAGATTGTCCAGAGACGACCAATTGAAGATGGAATTTCTTCTACTGCAGTTCCACTCAAGTATAAATACCTTGTATTCTCTGGTATGTTTGGAAACTTGGTGACATTTGAGCAGCCAGAGAGATCAACAATAACAAGAGACTTCAACAAACAAATGTTGCCTGGAAGGTTCCCAAGTTGTTTACAGTCCCTCAAATTCAACGCAACGAGTCTAATCAGACGTCCAATAGATCGGGGAAGCTCTTTGATCGCAGTCTCACTGAAATTTAAATACATCACATGCTCTGTAATCTCTGGGTACATCTTGAGATTTGAGCAGCCAGAAAGGTTAAGAGCCTTGAGATATTTCGAATTAATGTTATTTGGAAGACTCATAAGGCTTGTGCAGCCTCTCAGATCCAAATCAACAAGCTTCTCTAAAAATTGAATAGATAAGGGAACCACTTCCAGACTGGTACAAAATTGAAGGTTCAATCTCTTGAGATTTTTAGCCTTTGATAGGTCTGGGATTGCAGTTAGATGAACACAACTGCTAAGGTTGACCTCAGATAAATTTACAAGATCCTGACAAAAAAATTATTATAACAAATTAGCATATCTATTACTTAGGTAAAACATTTTGCAAGATAAAAGCGGCAGGGAGCTATTAAAATACCTGGTCTCCTTTCCAAAGTTGTTCGACCTTGCTAGAAGATAGATTAAGCTCGACAAGGTGCTCTGGAATGAAATTGGATGGCAAAGATCTTAAAGGGTATCCATCCCAATGGAGATACCTTAACTCATTAGAAAGTGACTCAAGGCCACAAGGAAGGAGCACTTTACAGTTATTTCCATGTTCCGAAGTATAGATCTTGAGCAATCTAAGATTAAATATCCTTTCAAAGGCAGTGGAGCTTAACTCAATTTGTCTCCTTTTGGCAATGTCCAAGTCCAAGAATATCCCTTCAACGTTCCCAGTTCCCTAAGAATTCAAGGAAATGAAAAACTATGTGAAGTGAGACAAATAAATAACTACATCTATCTATGTTCAGAGAAAGATATCAAGCTTCCTATCATAGAAATAATGTCAATTTATAAACATAAAATAAGGGAAACATTATGAGTAAGGCTCTCACCAGATTTTTGGTCAACACTTCATAAACATCCCTAAAATGCCATAATCTACTACGCTTTCCAGGTTCTTTAATTGATTCTTGGCATACAATCTCATGGGCCATTTGAAGCAACAAATCATGCATCTCTAGCTTGTTTTTTGAAATAGTAATGAGGCACTTATCGACAAGAATGCTAATTCCAATATCTGTTGAGAAACCACATCCATCAAGTATTCTCTTTACAAAATCTAGTTCCTGCCCTTTGAAGAAACAAGCAATATCAAGAAATATACTCTTCTCCTCGTCGTCTAGTGCGTCGAAACTTATTCTCAACACATTGCGAATTTTTTCTGGAGAAAGTCTTTCAACTTTATCCAATTGACTTTCCCAATCTTGTTTCGTTCTGCCAAATAGAAATGAACCCAAAACTTTAAGAGCTAAAGGGTTGCCTTTAGAATAATTTACTGCTCTCATTGTTAGGTCCATATGATCTTCTGGCAGGTGATGGTTATCTTTAAAGGCCGTCAAACGAAACAGACGAAGAGCTTCATTGTAATTTAGTCCCAAAACCTCAAATATCTCATCTGCATATTTCTTAAGCACTTGTTTATCTCTAGAAGTTATGATAATTCTACTTCCTGGACAAAACAAATCACAACCTCCAATTAACAGTTCCAATTGGTCCACTTCATTCACATCATCAAAAACGATCATAACTCTTTTGCGGCGGATCCTGTCTTTAATGAAAGTTTGTCCTATACGTGGAGTGCTAATATGCAGATTTTCTTCCTCCAATAATTTAGAAAATAACTTTTCACGCAATTGAACTAATCCCCCATTCTTTGTCGACTCCTCCCGAACATTTGCAAGAAAGTAGCAACCTTCATATTGACTTGAGATGCTATTGAAAACAGCTTCAGCAATAATTGTCTTGCCTATGCCACCCATGCCCCAAATTCCTAAGACGCGAACATCTGATAAACCCATGCATAGTAATGTTCTGATTTGTTTGATGCGTGACTCTATTCCAATTAGGCCCTTTGAATAACTTGATGAAGTATAACTCAATTTCTTCAAAATATATTCCACAATTTCACGGACAAGATTGGAGTCAGACCTGCCAAAATGATCAACATCTACAAGTTAAATTGTACCCAGAAAGGAGCAAATGAAAATGAACGCTCCACATTAACCATGATACATATTTTAATTCCTGAATTTCCATCTTTTTACATCACATAGGTAGAAAGTAGTTTCAAATCCCTCAAATCTAGTTTCAGTTCAAAATTCTCGCATGCATACTTAAAGTTCCAATCCAGAATTGTTAAGCTCCACCGCCTCTATCTCTCTGGAAAGATCCAGGAGGTTCACCTTAAAAACCTAGCTAAGTCATTTCTAGGCATATATAGAGTTATGCCTCCTTTTATTTGACATGGAAAAAATCTTACACATGGCAAGATTTGGTGTGGTGTAGTACTGAAAACTCAGTATTACAGTAGTATTGGAGTTTTTTCAAGAGATGTCAACGTAGTTAAAGTTCAATGGCGTATATAGAGTTATGGCTCCTTAAAGCATCAGTTTAAGGTAACAAGTATAAGGATTGCTTGTTATATATAGAACACAGTCCCATTTTGTTCCCCATTAAAAGGAATAAAGAATAATAAGTTCTACAAAACCCAACAGCATACATGACATATCTTTCACATGTATGTGGCTCAATCATCAAGTCTTGTGATAATTTTTTCTTATTCAGAATTATTTTTTTACTACAAAAAAATAAATAAATAAATAAATTTGATGCTGCATATCTTAAGAGTGGCATAGCCAATCATTTCACATAATAATGTAAAATCTTCAAAATAGAAGTTGAGAGAAAAGTGTGGTTACCTAGTGACCTGCGAATCCCATCCTGATATATTGGCTGCGCTAGTCAATTCGACCTTCCATCTTGACACCTTGTCCATCTTCCCCTTAAAATTATTTTCAAGTTCAGCAAATGCATTTCCAAAACTCCCTGTCTGTTCATCAACATCAGACGGGTCTACGTGATAGAAAACTGGTAAAACAATATGCCCATATTTCCTCTTACATTCAAGTATCTTCACCAGTTCGTCCACACACCACGGAGAAGATGCATAGTTTTTTGAGAATATTACTACTGAAATTCTTGATTCTTCAATTGTTCTCAATAGTGCAGGTGTAATTTGTTCACCTCTTTGAAGGTCGTCATCTATGAAGGTTTTGATTTGTTTACGGCACAGAGCATCATAGAGATGGCTGGTAAAATTATGACGTGTGTCTTTGCCTCTGAAGCTAAGGAACACATCATACTTCCATTGAAGACCAACGGAGGTAGAACATGCCATGTTGAAAGGTTATAGAAATATAAAGCAAAGCCGCTTTGGAACCGAAACAAATAGGAGCTCTGTCTTTGTTATTTCCTAAGACAAATGAGGAATAAAAAAGAACAAAACAAAAAGCAAAGTGTAAGATAGAATTATGAGAATAATAATAGCAAACTATGGAGAAACTGAAAATTTATTCTTTATTTAGCAACTATAACAACCAAAATAACAGCAGAAACAAAATATGTAGAAACTCAAACTCACTTAAGAGGGGAAAAAACTGTAAGTTCAATTTGAATTTTACACTTATATCACGCTTCTTAAATGTAACTAGAAATAAGAGAATAATTCTTTAAAAATCCAAGAAAAAAAAAATTGACTTAACAGTGTGAAGGCAGAAAGAAACAAAAGAAACCCAACTCATATAACAATCAGAAAGAACACATAAACCAAAACCCATTAACAGATTCTCAGTTACAGATTGGAAAAAAATGGGTAGTTGACTTACAGTGGGAAGGCAATCAAAGGCAGAAAGCTTTTCTTTCCTTCTTTCTCTTCTGGGGTGGAAACTTTTTGTATAGATTTACTTAGCTCGATCCTTCCCGGCTATTCATATTCTTTGACAGACAGCAAATGGGGCGAAGTCAATCCACTTTACATCACCATTGGAAAGTTTCCACGCGGAAAACGCTTTACTTGCTTTTACCAAACAAAATAATAAACTTATTACCTTCTTGTCTTTTTAATTGGTATCAGCATTTTTTTATTCATATTTTTTTTAATGGAATGACCTTTAAATATAAACATTTTTAAAAATATAACATTTAAAATTCCGATAAAATAAAGCATTTTAGTATAAATATAAAATACGATGACATGACATAATCGAAGTTATTCAAGTGATTAATCCAGTAGAGTGCTCTCGATTGGTTTGTATTTTGTTTCAGATTTTGTTTTTATGATGTTACCTTGTTTTTCTACTTAGAGGCTAGAATGCTCTCTAGTCGTTCTTCTTTTTTATGAATATAGGGAGGAAGGAGCAAAAACGAAAGATTTTTTAATAAAGAGATTTTAATTCTAAGTTTTTTTTTTTTTTTTGGATTTTCCATTATTTCTAAAAAAAAAAAATTAAGGGATGAACTAAATCTCAAAGGTTTAAAATTCAGAAATTTCAAAAATTAAATTTAAAGTTTAAAAAGTTAATTTTAGATGAATTAAAGTTTAAGAAAGGTTTGATTCATTTAGCCAAAACAAACTACTTAAAGATCAAAAGAACAACCGATTTAAACTAGGTCCTGAAACTGAAAACAAAAAGGCTCAAGAAATCAAAATCAGGGACGTAAGCAAAATATAGGGATGAAACTATAACTTCACCAAACGATAGGGACTGGAACGTATTCTCCTGCAGAAAATTTCTGCACTTCCCCAACGGCAAGACTCGACAGCCCAAACCGCCATTTACACATCTAATTACCTCAAAATCACCATGAAAACAAACCCTAAAGCATCTTAAGTCCCAAGTTCTATAATCATATCAAAACCACGAACCTAATTAAAGCTTTTTTTGAAACTTTTAGATCTAGAATTTTGAAACACAAAATATCCAAAATCCGATGGTGAAAATGCAGACGGACGCTTGTTATAATGGATTTCCCTTAAAGCAAAGCGAACTCTTATCATATGGTGGTCTAAGCAACGGCCATGGCTGGATTTAGGTGTCTTCGCCGGTCTTCTCTCTTTCTCCCTGTCTCCATTTCCGTTTCTCTCCCTATCCATTATAACAAGTGTACAAATAACACGAACTAAGAAGTGCAAGAATTCCTAGGAGAAACAAACTAACAAGGAAAAGAAACACATGACCTGACTCGGTCTTTTTTAGCTGGAAGGGATTAATAATGTAAGCTATAATCTCAATAGTGGAGAAACAGTGAAATTAACAACAGAAATTTCCACAGGTAATATGAAGAAATTATGTCAGTGATTGAATCATGGACCAAAATTTTACGTCACAAAAATTCTCATAGAAAATTGAGTGGCGGGTAACTTTCCATTGATGATTTCATAGCTGATTAAATCATCGATGGAATCAGGGACGAAAAATATTTTCAAATTTATTTTTTGAGGCGGTAATTTAATCACCAACAGAATTAGCGATAGAGTTCATTGCACTTTTTCTAAAATTTCGTTAGAAATTTCTTTGGTGATTATTTATTTATTTATTATTTATAGTAAAAACAGTAACAAAACTTGTGTTTAAAAACCTGAAATTCACCCACACAGCACTACCATTTTCAACACACCTACTGATTAATTGAAATTCATGCAAATTTATAATAAATCCACCAAAAAATATATATATATAAAAGTTACATGTTAATCAAATACTCTAATCTGTATTAGATAGCTAGGCGGTATATAAAAGTTATTAATCGAATGGTGATTTCAAACCCGATTAAAATAAAATTTTATTATATTGTTTTTTATGTCGAGTTTTTCAACTTAAGCAATATTGATCATTGAAAAGCTTTTATCTTTAGATATTTCTAAAAAAAACCCACTTGGTGAGATATAGTCATTTTCTTTATAATTATGATTGGAATCTATATTAATGATGATGAATTTGATATTTTGAAGTGTATCTTCTAGTTTAATAAGAGAAAAATGGTGTATCATATTATTTAAATTACGGCTTTGTAATTTTTTTTCACATCAGGATTTTCATGTAAAATTTATGTGTTATTTGTAATTATGTTTTATTTATTTGGTATTGTTGTTATTAATTAGTTGATTCTAATTTTAATTTCATAAAAAGGAAAAAAAAAGGAGAAGAAAGAAACTTATGGCTTGTAATTTTGGTTTATAAAAATGTCTTTTCCTAACACTTTTCATATTAATGATCCCAACAAAAACAAATTGATTACTAACAATTAACTATAAAAACACTTACTTACAACAAAAACTTGAGATCTTCCATCAATAAACGTTATCTCTTAATTCTTTTCCTTAGTCAACTTTTCTGATATGAGTTTCTTCGTAAACTTTTCATAGGAGTCGGTGCCCTTCCTAACTTATTTTTCTACAAATATTTATAAATAATTATTACATCAATCCTATAAGCGTCAAGATAAGAAAAAGAAAAAACGAATCGGAATCATTGTCAAAGTTTACCAGTCGATATGCATGATGTACATATGGGATCGAGCCACCTGTATGCTTGCTTATGATACCTCGATTCACTTTATTTCGGGTTTTTTACCGGATGTAAATAGGCTTGCGAAGGGTTCTTACTTGGCGAACTCAATATTTTTCGCCCAATTACTAGGAGTGATATAATCCGATCTAAACTTGGACCACTTCTCGATATCTTTCGAACTAGCATTCCTTTTTGCATGCCCATGCATCATACCAAAACCCACTTACGCAACCTATATAATTAATTTGTATTCGCATCAAAGATAGTAGCAGAAAAAATTGTAAAATAATAAAAGAATTCATAAATATACTATTATCATATTCAAGAACAAGATATAAGAAAAATATGATTATTACCTGAGCGCACAATGCTTATTCCATGCACTTCTAACCGTATCCTCTTTGACCAACAATATTGTTCCTAAAATAAATTTTTAAGTAACTCTCTAATGAAAGTTAAAAATACTAGTTAAAGCTGGAAGAAATTCAATTATCTTGTCTTAAATTTTCCAAACCATGCGTCAACCATACCCATCTAACGAAGATTGCTCTCAAGTTGTTTCTACTGAAACGAAGGTTCTTCAAATGGCACATGCATTAATGGAGCTGTAATGAAACGGCCAGCCCTTAAATTGATAAACATTTAATTTTTATTTTCATTCTTACTTCATGTTCTTTCGAACACATATACAACAATAAACCTTTTATTCTTATATTCACTGGTTTTCGGTTTTCTTGTAATGTTGGACTTCTCTTTTGTATAATTCCATTCCGTTTGTAGCATCAAGAGTGTAGACTGCAGGTCTTGTGATGCTACAATAATACTACATAATGCAAGGCAAACTTGCTAACGATACGAGTGATGAGGTTGGTTCTCACAAAGTATCATCTTGTTGATGAGGTGGAGCTGACACGTCACCTGCAAAATTAAAAAGTCTCCTCTTTCTACAAGGCACACTCCCGTGGTCAAGTTAGTGGTGGTGGAGGGAGGAGAGAATGGCAGTACTTCAATTTATTACCTTGCCTTCAACAAGTACATATAGAAAGCCGCTATTATGAATAGGAGAGAGTTTCGTGGACAATCAAGTTTAGGTGACGGAGAGAATAAACGTAGACAGAAGGAAAGAAGACACAAATGATTTTCAGTTACTTCCCACTGGACTCTCGAAAAAATATTATTTTATTAATTTTATTTATTATTTTTAAAAATATAAGTTATTATTAATTTTAAAAGTATCACTTATCACCTAGTATTGAAAAAATTAGAAACTTAAAACAAACATTAGTTCGAGAGATTTTAGTATAAAGAATTAGTTACGCTTTTAAAAAATATCGATCACCCAAAAGCTTCATTTTCTAAGAAATGTATCACTTCTATTTTAATCTTAAAATTTATCTCTTATGGTGCTTTTATTTATGCAAAATTATTTTCAATTCGAACTCTAAGTTTTTATTTCCTAGGCCAAATTAAGTTTTTTATTTTTATTTATGACATCTTATTGAACTAATCATCATATCCCTTTGTCGATAGACAAGTCGACTCGATATTGGATCCACTTTAAGTCTCGATATAACCGATATGTCGGAAAACGACCTTATTATTAGAATGATTTATTTGGCTAGCAACAATTCATCTTAGATAGAAGACTTTTGTTAATTTTTCTAAGTATTTCCTATTTTTATTATTTATTTATTTTTCTTATTTTGTATTTCATTGTTTCTACTCGAGGGATCTTTTCCTATCTCTTTTTTTTTTTTGGGTGGGGGTGGGGGGGGGGCATTTTCTTCAATTTATTTTTCTTTTTTTACTTATGATTTTTCTATTGTTTTGATGTTGTTTTTCTTTATTATTGATTATTGGTGAGGAATCATCATCGATCCTTAAAAATTAGGAGACTTGACAATTCATTCACCAATTAATTATCTATCATAATTCTTAACATAAAGTCTAACCAATTAAACATTTCAATTAAATGAACAAACAAATAAATCAACAATTCAAAGATATTAAATTTAAACTAGGCATGCAAATAAAAGCATATATTAAAAATAAATTTAGGCATGGTTCACTAGGACAAAAGGTTGAAATTGGGATGATTGAGCTCTTTTAGCCCACCGAGCTTAGGGCCCGTTAGGCATTTTGTTTAATTATTATTCAGTTTTGATTCTTTATAATACACATATGTTATATTCGTATAATCATCTTTCTTGGCAAGCTCCAATATATATATATATATATATATATATAACCATCCTCGTCAACATTAACATCAATCACAATACCCCCTTCACACGTTATAGATAAATCAACACCTCCAAACGTTCTATATAATTTTTTTCCAATATGAAACCTTAACTTACCCATCTAAAAGGACCATTATGGAGGGGTAATGATAGATAAATAACATTAACAAATTTTAATTAATCGCACAAAATTTACAATGTGGATGAACCATTGCCATACAACAATTTAAAAACCAAAAAGGAACTTAAGAATTAACTCACTCAAAAATTGATGTACCTTAACTCCGCTCGAGGTCCGTAACTTTAGGATTGTTGGATTTTCTTTAACTTTATAAAGCGATTGAAAGATAAAAAAAAGCTGATAGAGAAAGGGTGAGCGAGGAAAAGATAAGATGAAGAATTAGAGAGAAAATAAAATTGCTTATGGTAAAGGTTCTCCGGCAAATAAATGAAGAATAATAACTAAGAGGTTTCTTGACAAATAAAAAAATAAGAAGAAGCGAGTGCTATGTTCTAATTTTCGTTTGATAATTGAAGGGAGAAGGAGAAAGAAATTTAGGATCGGGTTAGGGAAAAGGTTTAAAGTTTAGGATATACAAGCTACTTATATAAGGGCAATTTCGAGTTTTAATTTTTTCATGTCTTTAATTTCTTGTCCGGTATTTGAAATTGAGAGGAAAAAAATTAATACCATATGTCGACATCATGTTAGTCATACGATTGAATTATATTACTCATGGAGTAACTAGTGTAAGTTACTCCATAATAAATAGATAGACATGAAGAAGACGGACAAATAAGATGAAGAAAATTAAAAAAAAAATTAAAATTTAGGTAAAAATCTTTTTATTACTTTTGATTGATCCGGATGTAATTCTCTCTTTATTTTTTGTGTCAATCTCTCTCGTAAAAAATGAGCCTATAGTGTAATTATTGTGTATATACAATAATTATTCGTTGAGAATTTTAAAATTTATGGTAGCATGACACTACTATAGATAACAAATTAGTTTGCTAGTACAACTTTTTTTTTTTTTTGATAATTAGTACAACGTATTGGTTTACCCTTTTCCAATTGAGAAAATACATGAATCTCTAAAAGCCCTTTTCCAATTTGGTTAACTTTACTTTCGTCCAAGTTAAGAATTAAACCCAAACATCCTCAAAAATTTTGAAAGTACACTGTTCTATAATCAGGAACATCCTTGTATCTAGGATTGGTCCGAAATAACATTAGTACATTTATTATATATATATATATATATATATAATAAATACTTTTGATACACGGTAATGCCATGGACCTAGGCCTTCCAAGTTCCAACACTACATTACTTGCTGCCATGCTTATCATCAAGCAGCCTCTTGGCTTTGAACCATCATTCCAAGCTATTTTGATCCCGAAAATCATAATTAAATGTAACAAGGCCTGTTCGTTACTATTTATGTCAATAGGTTGGTTTCAAATCAAATTATAATAGACTTAGATTCAATTTATTTAATAAAACAGATCTGATTGGATCTTATGAATTCAGATTAGGTTTTAAAAATATAAATCCGGATTCTAGCAGATGCGGATCAGATTTGTAGCTCCATCAGATTTATTAATTGGTTTTTGTAGAAAATTTATACTTATGATATTTAATATATTTTTTAGTATAAAATATATTTTAATCACTACATGTATAATAAAATACATTAAAATAATATTTCATTTATCAATTTTATATAAAAAAAGTTAAAATACCACATAATAAAAAAGAAAGAAAAAAATTCTATTAATATTATCATATATTTTTAACAAGTTATTTCATAAAAAAATATTGTACATGTCAATTTACTAATATCAATAATTTCACATAATTAAATAAGTACTAATATTGCATTTTCTTAATTTTTTTGAAAAATCCAATTTTCATCTATTATTTAATAATACAAATTTTTTAGTATCTCAAATTCTGACCTCCAACTACTTGTTCCTACATCTCGTCTCAATAAGTGAAATGACAAAAAAAATAAAATAATAATAATAATTTAGAGATTTGAGTGTTATAAAATAGTTCATGCTAAGCACTCTATTTTTTAATTCTACTATTTCAATTAGCGTGATTATACTTTTATATCTAACATTAAAATAATAAAATAGGCTCTATTTTACGAAAAAGTTGATTCCACATATTATGATTCTTATCATTAAGTTTGAAACAAATGAAACAATAATTTTTCAATATATTTATTGCTCAACTTCACAATTACTCATATATATATATATATATATAATTTCGAATCGGATTATTATTGAATCAATATAGATTTGAATTTGATCTATTTAATAAATAGGTTAACAAATTTAGATCATAATCGAATTTAGATAAAAAAAAATTATTTATTAAATCCATTTAACTACATCGTATTTATAAACTGATGCAAAATAAATCCAATATAACACTTATGGGTACATAAGAAATATATTGAATCAATTCCTTATAATGAATAGATCTGATCACAACTTCAAATACGGAATTCAAAATGATCAAATAAAAAATTATACTCTAAATCATATAGCTATAATGAAATATATGATCAATTAATATTTATCGAATTTGAAGCAGAGTTAGGAGAAATAGCCACATCCCTGTTATTTTATATTCTCAACAATACGTTTGAAGTTGGATTAAGATCCAATCACTCTGACAAAATAAAATCAGAGGGTGGCATGTTATCTTTGGCGTAGAGTAGATGGACCCCACAGGCTAGAATTTGGCAACAATGTAACGGTAAGTGATTTTCGTCCAAAACTTCGGATTGGAATTTAATGAAGAGTTTGCGGTGGAGATAAGAGATGCATAATAATGAGACGTTTCTTAATTGATATATTTATATAGGTTTGCAACACATAAGTCTGTAAAGGGTGAAAATATGTGTTTATAACGAATAAATTAGAATACACATTACACATTGAAAATTAAAAGTTAATAATTGAGTACATGAATTATTATTTTCATATGTGAGGAGGACTTTCATGCATAGAAAGAAGAAAGAGAGATGGTGCATCCAAAGTTCAAACTAGGCCTAGTAATTTGATTTTACATAAGAAGTATGTCAGTTAATTTATTAGGTGATTTGCTTGGACTAAAAAACTTACTAATTATGAACTCTTTAATTAAATAAAGCAATTATAAGAAGATAAACATAAAGAATGACTTTTTTAACAATCATGGAAAAGAGTAGGCGATTACAAAAGAATATAAGACATAATCACAATAGTTATGAAGAAGTATAGAGTAATGCAAGCAATGTAGGTAGTTGCAAAGGAACTTGAAGCATTACAAAAGATTATGGAGTAGCAAGAAGCCTATAAATACAAAATGTAGTAAGCAAAAAACACATCGACATGCATAAAAATAAACTCGGGAAGACTTTTAATTTGTAAATAGCTCTTAGAGCATTCTCCAAAATTTCAACACGTTTGAAATTTATCAAGCTAATAGTAATTCATAGGTAGTATCCAAATAGGCTGACTCATTTGTGTTTTGGCTCCTATCTTGTAACTACGGCATGTGATTGTGATCTTTGAGAGATAGATTCTTGTGCGAATATCATATCCGGAAGAGTTCTAATCTGTAAGCATTTTTCATCATCAATAAATGCGAGTCCTTCCTTTCAAGTTGTGTAATGTTAAGTTTGTAACCTTATGCTTTTGATTTATATGCAATTTAATTTCCAAATTTGTAGTGTAAGCTTGTATTTTCAATTACAAATAAGATTAAAGAGTTTGCATTAGAAGTTTAAAACCAACATCATTGGACATTATCAACCTTGCAACTTGCAACCCAACTTGTTTGAGCAAATTGCAAACTTTTAGGATTTGCAAATTGATTGCGAGTTCATTTAATGGGGTTCGCAAACTAATTTCAATTCATTTAACTCAAATTTGTTTACATTAACTAAAACAACCAAAATATATGTAGAACTAGCAATAGAATATATAGTATAATAGAGTTAATTCATGGAAATTCGAATTTGAAAGTTGGATTGTGAACCCATAGAACACTAGTACAATGGATCCTTGATTGGCTATAGTTGTGGACGGAAAAGAAATAACAAAAATTTGTTGGATTTTCTTTTTCGTAACAATTACGGATCCATTTTTCAATGGGTTTATCCCACATTTGGTCCTTGTACATTTTTAATTTTTTTGATTGAGACCTTCCGTGATTTTTCAGCTTAATTGGCACCCTCTACTCTTATAAATTTGTTAACTTGGACCCTCTATTAATTGTACAATCGACGTGGCATGTTAAAAATAATGGTGACCAATCAAGCAACGACACATACACATAGAAATACGAGTCCCAAATGTGAGATTATAATTATGAAACTAAAAACTAATAGGTTTAAAAAGATATATAATATTAAACTAATGTTAGTATATTAAAATGAAAAGAAAAAGACAAAAAAGCCCTCATGCCTGCTATACCACCCAAACCTAATTTCTTTTGCATCTTTAAGCTCTCGTCCGGCAAACTCAATTCCTTGGATTCTACCATTTTTTCTATCTCAAAACCAATAGATTTCAAAATCTCTAAATCCCTAAACAACCTAAAATCCCATTAACCTAACACAAATTATGTTTATCTAGCGATTATCATTTGGGTGTGAAAGCAAGGAAGATGAAGAAGAATCGAAACCTAGTTTTGAGAAAACACCGAGGAAACAACAAAATCTTAAAATTGAAGCAAATCACAATAAACATGAGGTGATTAAATTCAGCACATAAATTGCAAGAAAACCCATCCAACGTCATTCATTCATTTGTTCAAAATAAGTACCAAGAGTCATTCATTCAAAACCCAATCAACCAAGTACATAAATTGCTAAATCAAATCCCTTAAGAACCAAAACCATACAAAGTGCAGCCACTGCCTCTTCAAAGCACAAACGACATCTATAGCGATCCATCGCCTTTCGTATCTAGTTTTCTTATTTTCCTCTGCTTGACATTTTTTCCTCTCTTCTCTTAATTTCTTGATGAGACAGAGTAAAAGGATATTTTTTTTTTCTATTTGACCCGATGAGCTTGATTAGGTTCAAAATCTTGAAGATCAAAATCGATGAAATAAAGAATAACATCGTGATGAATTTGGATAGAGCGAGAATCGATAAGAGGTCTTTCAATTAAGAGAGATGGTTTCAAGATGATAAAATCGAAAGATATGATGTTTTGTTTCGAAGAAGGAGTAGGAAGAGGTGCTACTCGGATGTAAAGAAGGAGGAGGGGGAGGCAAGTGACGGATATGAAGATTTAGGAAACTTAGGGTTTTTTATAAGAGGAGGAGAAGAAGAAGAATGAATGAAGTTCCGTGAGGCAATTGTGAGGAGAGAGAAAGAGAGATTATGATATTTTCTATGGATTTAATTTGGGATAATAGGATGGGGTTAAATTTGTCCTTTTAATTTATTTTTTAAATTCTAAACATTAGTTTATTATTAAAAATTTTTTAATTCTTTTTATTTTTTAAATTTGGACTCTCGCTCTATTATATAAGACCCATCGTGCCATGTGTCCATGCCCGATTGGATAGCATTAGTTTTAACTTGCCACGTAGGATAGATATTTAACGTTGTTATAACGGAGGGTCTTAATCAATAAATTTATAAGAGCAAAGGGTTTTAATCAAGCTGAAAAATCATAGAGGGTCTTAATCAAAAAAATTAAAACTATACAGGGATCAAATGTGGGGTAAACCCATTTTTCAATGGGAATTTTCAATTTGCTCTCTTAAAGTTTTTGCATTTTCTCGGTTTTACTTAAAAGTTTTTCTCATATTTACCTAAAAGTTTTGATTTATTTCAATTTTTTCCCACATCGTTCATTTTTGTTCAAATCAAACGCCATATTGTTTTTTATATTTTTTTATTTCCCCCTTCTATCTATTTTTTGTCAAGTGTGTAAATTTTTGTTTCATCCGTTTGAAATTTTTAAAATATCTCAATATCATCCAAAAACTAAAAAAAAAATAAATAATAAATTGAAATTACTAAAAATATAAATAGAATTTTTTTTTTAAAAAATATAAATGTGAGAGGGTTACTTTCTCAAGAAATTCTCAAGTCTTACCGACTTCCAATTATTACATAGTAACATCAATTTTTTTTTTGTCAATACCACAGTTAAATGAAAATCAAGATTCAAATTAATTTAACTCTCTTTTATTTTTTATTTTTTTTCAAAATCTTAACCATTTTGATCCCTCTTAGCTATGATATGTACAAATAATTACGTTCTTGGTGATGTTAACATTGCCTTATATTAAGGCAACATTCTATTCATATTGGATTTCAATATTTTTTTCTTTGAAATTCTTGTTCAATATTTTCATGAAAAAATTAGATAAAAGTATAAATATGATATAATAGTGAGTGTATGAGAGACAAAAACAATGGTGATCAATACTTTTTATCAAAAAAACTTTTCTTTTTTATCATTTTTGTTTTAGTTTAATTTTAGTCTTGTATTATCAAATGACTATTGATAATGTTGATAAAAAAAAAAAAAAAACTTTCATACTCGTTTTGTTGAAAAAATGTATTTCGTTAACAATTGTTTCAATTTCAATTTTTTCATTCTTGCATTTTGAGTTATATAGATATATTTTATAAAATTTAAAGATGAAATCAAAATTTATACATAATGGAACAAAAATAAAAAACACAAAGTTTAATTAAAACAAATCAAAGACTTTAGATCAAATTGAAAAAATACATCAACCTGGAGGGGCAAATTAAAATTTACCTTTCCCCAATTTGGTTAACTTTACTTTTGTTCAAGTTGAGAATTAGACCCAAACATACTCAAAAATTTTGAAAGTACATTGTTCTATAATCAAGAACATCCTTTTATCTAGACTTGGTCCAAAATAACATTAATATATATATATATATATATATATATATATATATATATATAAAACGAAAAGCATAAATACTAATGGTATACGGTAATGCCATGGACATAGGCCTTCCAAGTTCCAACCCTACATCACTCACTGTCATCCGTATCATCAAGCGACCTCTAGGGTTTGAACCTTGATTCAATAAACTTTTTGTATGCATCATTACATCATTACCATACTCTATACAAATTAAAAAATATGTTTAAAAAAATTAAGTTGTAAGGAATATATTAAAGTTAATAGAATGCAATAAAGATAACTTAAAATTTTATTAAAAAAATTGAATATATCAAGAATAAGAAAAAGAAACACGTGAATTATTTATTGAAAAAACATATTAAAAATTCATACATGGAGAAAGATAAATCATATTTGTTAACAAATAAAATTTTTTTTTAAAAAAAAATTAATTTGATGAGAATTTTTATAATAAATGATAAATTTAAGAAATTAATTTTAATCAATAAAAAAATAAAATTTGATATATGTGTTTGTTCTAAAACTTTAAAACATAAGAAACAAAAAAATATTTTTGAAAAATATGAGGAACAAAAAATATATTTTGAAAAAATATAAGATAAAAATAGACTATGTCAAAAAAATAAAATAAGGTGTCAAAAATAGACTAAGTCAAAAAAATAAAACAAGATGTCAAAATATTTTTAAAAATATGAAGATTTAAAAATATATTTTGAAAATATAAGGGACTAAAAAAAATGAAGTATAAATTTTAAAAATAAATGCCCAAAAAACTATAATAAAATTAAGAACATACCATTATAAAAAAATTAAACAATTGCCATTTGACTACAGTAATGAATTAAATAATTTACTCAAATACTTATTATAGAATTCTTTTTCCTACAAACAAACAGAACGAATTAAAATAAATAAATAGAAGAATTTTTTTTTTTAAAGTACAATTCCACATTTCTTATCTCAACGACTGAGCCCAAGCCCAATCCAAGGTTATGTGGTTAAAACCTGATGATCACTTCTACCGGCTATATTAATAAGACAAATGAAGAAACAAAGGAGGTCAGCCCGTTTTTTTGAAAAAAAAAAGACAGAACTGCTACAGTACATGAATAGCAACACCACCAGTTCTTTTAGTCTTATTTATACATATTTTTCAAAATCTTTGAGTAAAAGTCAGCCGCTTCATAAAGCGACCTCTTGGCTTTGAACCATGATTCCAAGCTATCTTGATCCCGAGCCCATAAAGCATAAGTAAATGGAACATTGAGCCACTCCAAAAAACTTTTTAGATGGAACGATGGCATCATAAAATCAGAGCGTCGTATATCATCTTTTGCGTACAGCAGACGGACCCCACATTCAACAATTTGGCAACAATGTAATGGTAAGAGATTGCCGTCCAGATCTTCGGGTTGGAATTCAATGGAGACTTCAGTGTATTCACTAAACAAATCATCTTTTATAGCAGCCAAACAAGGATCAAATCCCACGAACAAGTGTTCTTCTTCAAGGATATACCTCTCATCATACCAGCCATGGAGATAGCTATAGAGATCATGGCAATCGCCATGCTCATTGCGGAAATGGTATGTGCATTTAACTTGCAAACTGAGTTTAATTATTTCAAATCCAATAACAGCACATAGAGTGAAACCCGAGAACTCATTATCAGCCCAATGCGAAGGTAGCTGAATTGTTACTGCGGATCCCCAACTTTGATGTCTAAACCACATTGGAGTTACCCAACCAGGGAAGCAGGAACTAGATGTCTCTGCCGGAGCATCGGGCACCTGTTAAAACCATTAAAATTGCATCTTTTTAACATCAGTGATTACAAATAGAGGAACACAAAAAGGTATAACAGAGGTTTGAGAAACAGACCTGATCGTATTGCCTTTTGGTATAAAGTTGAAATTTCAATAAGGAGTCTGCCAAGATTTTCTGGCTTTGGGTCTCAAGCAAGCACCGACAATTAGTGAAAATGAATTCAAAAATGTTTCCCTCAACTACAGTTGATGAGCTTGATACTCGGCTCAAGACCGGGCAATAATCTGCGTCTAACTTTACTAGCCGTGGTGGAAGCTCTGGTAACGATTCAAGCCTCGTGCAATTCCTTAAGCCTAGATATTGCAGCTCAAAAAGTTTATTGATGCTTACAGGTATAGTGCGAAAAGGGTTTCCACTTAGATCTAACACTTCCAGCGAAGATAAACAGCCAAGACCGTCAGGCACTTCCGATATCCCACAGCAACGTACAGTTAGCTGACGCAAAAATTTTAAATCCAAGTCCATCTCAGGCAATTGCAAGTGAAAACATTCGATACCCCTTAGAAATAAGCAGTTTCCCGCTTCCAAGCAAGTCAGTCCTATCAGATTTCCAATCGGTGAAGGCAACTTTCTTATCCGTGTATGGTCTAAAAAGAGATATCTCAAACGTTCCATTGGCTCCAAAACTTCAGGAAAATTCTTAAATTGAAGGCAACCTGAGAGATTAAGCCTTCGCAGATATTTCAACTTACAGATACTGCTAGGGAGAAACTCAAATTTTGTGCAATTTCGTAGGTGCAATTCAGCAAGTTCAGACAAACACTCTATTGATGAGGGAATTTCTCTTATTGCCGTCCCATCTAAATACAACTCCCTAATATTCCCTGAAACCTTCGGAAACTCGGTGATACTTGAGCAACCAGAAAGATCAAGTTTTTCAAGGCTTGCCAACTTAGAAATTGTACTAGGAAGATTCTTTAGCCGGTTGCAGCCACTTAGATCCAAAGAAATGAGTTCCGTTAGACCACCAATTGAAGAGGGAATTTCTTCTATTGCAGTTCCATGCAAGTACAAGTATCTCACATTCCTTGAAAAGTCCGGAAACCTGCTGATCGATGAGCAGCCAGAGATGTCAGCAATAAGAAGAGATTTCAACAAAAATATGTTTTCTGGAAGATTCCCAAGGCGTTGGCAGCTCTTCAAATTCAATGCAACAAGTTCACTAAGATCCCCAATTGATTGGGGAAGCTCTTGTATGGCAGTCTCATTTAAATTTAAATACGCCAGTTTCCTTGCGACCTCTGGGCACTTCTTTAGATTTGAACAACCAGAAAGGTTAAGAGTCATCAGACGTCTTGAATTAATTTTACTGGGAAGACTGATAAGACTTGTGCAGTGTCTCAAATCCAAATCAATAAGCTTGTCTAGATGCTGAATAGATAAAGGAACCTTAACCAAACTTGTACAAAATTGAAGATTCAACCTCTCAAGGTTTCTGGCCTTTGAAAGGTCTGGCATGAAAGTTATGCTCTTACAATTGCTGAGGTTGACATCTTTTAAATTGCCGAGATTCTGCAGCAAAATAAAATTGACGGCAAGAAATTATCACAGTTATTTTCAAAGAAACAAATGTGGATGCATAGAGTTATTTAAGAATACCTGGTCTCCTTTCCACAGCTGCTTAACCTTGCTAGATGATAGGTTAAGTTCAACAAGGTTCTCTGGACAAAAACTGAAAGGCAAAGAAGTCAAAGGGTATTCAGTCCAGTGAAGGTACCTCAATTCATCAGAAAGATACTCGAGGCCATGACGAAGATGCACTATACATTTCCTTTCAACTTCAGAATTGTAAATTTTTAGCAGCCTAAGATTATACATCCTTGCAAAGGCTCTAGAACTCAACTCCATTTCTCTTATTTTTGAAACATCAAAGAATATCCCTTCAACTTTTCCAGTTCCCTGAATATGCCAGAAAAGGACAGATAAAGCATAAGTTGGATTTTAAACTTATTACAACCAATTTGTAGTATACATGAAGGAAAAAAAAAAAAGAAAAGAAAAAACATGCATATGAGCCTCACCAAATTTTTGGTCAACACTTGGTAAACATCTTTAGGACTCCATAATCTGCTTCGTCCTCCTCGCTCTTTAATGGATTCTTGTCGAACAATTCCATGAGCCATTTCTTGCAAAAGATCATGCATTTCAACCTTGTCATTTGAAATTTTAATGAGACACTTGTCAATGAGAACACTGAACCCAATCTCTGTTTTGAAACCACAACCATCTAATATCCGCTTTACAAAATCAACTTGATGCCCTTTAAAGAAACACGCAATGTCGAGGAATATACTCTTCATGTTATTATCACGTAATCCATCAAAGCCTATTCTCAGCAAGTCGTAGAGTTTCAGTTCAGGAATGCTTTCAAGCTCATTTAATTGAGATTCCCAAAAAATTCGCCCTTTGCCATATAAGAAGGAACCCAAAACTTGAAGAGCCAGTGGGTTGCCTTTAGCATAATTTATGGCATTGATTGCCAACTCCATATAACCTTTTGGGGGGTTTCCCTCAAAAGCATTCAAGCTAAAGAGTTGAAGAGCTTCGTGGAAGTTTAAGGCCTCAACCGGGTATATTACATCAACTACATTCTTAAGCACTTGCTGGTCTCTTGATGTTACAAGAATGACACTTCCTGCACCAAACAAATCATGCCTTTCAATTAAACGCCGGAATTGGTCCACATCACTCACATCATCCAACACAAGGACAACTTTCTTTTGGCAGATCCTATCCTTGATGAAAGTAGGTCCGATATGTGGAGTGCCAATGTGTAGATTTTCTTCCTCCAGTAACTTAGAAAAAAGTTCATCTCGTAGACGATCCAAGTCACCCTTTTCTGATTTCTCCCTTATTTTCGGAAGAAAGTGGCAGCCTTCATATTGACTTGAGATGCTATAGAAGAAAGCTTCAGCAACAGTTGTCTTGCCGATACCACCCATCCCCCAAATTCCTATAGTGCGGACATCTGACGAGCTAAAGGACAGTAATTTGTTGATTTGCTCAATGCGCGAATCTATTCCAACCAGACCTCTTAATTCACTCGGGGATGCACGATTCAGCTTTTTCCAAATTGTTTCCACAACTTCTCTTACGAGTTTGGACTCCGGACTGCAAAAAATGAAGTAGCATCTTTAACTGGCATAAAGTATCTATAAGAAACAGGTGAAAAAGATGTATGACAATGAAATTCTTCTTTTATTGTATATTTGCAATGGTGAGGTGTTGAACTCAACAGCTCACCCTCTGATTTTGTAAGAGTACCATAATGGTGCAAGCCCATTAGCAGTTCATGGAAGTTCTTTTTCGTTAAAAGACATAATGGACTTAAAATCAATACTATGAACTAAGAAGAACAAAGAACTTATAGGAGGAAAAAAATTATTAATATGAGCAAGCAATTTTAGTTGCTATAAATCAAGAGACTAAAATTATGGGCAAGAGACTAAAATTGGCATAAATAATGATCTCACGAATATGCATATGAAAAAAAAAAAAAAAAGGAGTAGAAGAGAAAGCTATAATTACCTAGTGACCTGCGAATCCCATCCAGATATATTGGCTGCATTTGTCAGTTCCGTCTTCCACCTTGGCACCTTGTCCATCTTCCCCTTAAATTTTTTTTCAAGTTCAGAAAATGCATTCCCAAAACTACCCGTCTGTTCATCGACATCAGACGGGTCTACATGATAAAAGACTGGTAAAACAATCTGCCCATAACTCTGTTTGCATTCTAGTATTTTCACCAGTTCATCCACACACCACGAAGAAGATGCGTAGTCTTTTGAGAAAATTACTACAGAAATTCTTGATTCTTCAATCGTTTTCAAGAGCGCTGTGGTAATTTCTTCCCCTCTTTCAAGGCCATCATCAATGAAGGTCTTGATTTTCTTGCGACACAAAGCATCATAAAGATGGCTGGTAAAATTATTGCGTGTATCCTTGCCTCTAAAACTAAGGAACACTTCATACTTCCATATATGAGCCGCAGCGGATGAAGATGCCATATCGGACAGTTACAAGATTGCGTCTGCCTCGATCACTTGAGAATAGAAAACAATACGTGCTCTCGATCCTTTTTCTCCTAAAAATATACCAAGAACACCAATTAAGAGAGATGATTATAATTAGGAAAATTATTGCACAAACTCCAAACTACAGGAACCCACCCATCAGATATTATAAAAAAATTCCTCAAATATTTTACGACAAATATGTACCATGTGATTTATCTGCAATATGATTATTATTATTTTTTTTTTGGTGAATACAAGATTATGATTTTTCTTTTTTACAAGTTGATTTTTTTCTGAACTAAGAATCTTATATTCTTTTTGACTAATTATGATCACTGCATCTACATCTGCACAACTGAGTCGCTTCTCCTCCACCTAATTACTTAATTTGATCACTTCTCCCTTGCTACCAATGCTAGGAATTACTTTCATTGCAAAAACATGTTACTTCTTACAGAGGAATTAATAGCAGTCACTTGTGGACCAAAAGAATTACAGATGGAGAAATTAATTTTTTCATAAAACTCATTTATGAAGCCTATATAATTCTTAAAGATACAAGACCAATGAACCAGAAAAACTTACTTACAAATCATAAAGATTTTGCTTTCCAACAGCAAAGAAGAAGAAGAAGCTGCTTGTTGATGATAAGAGACAATTCCACTTTTCTATTGCCTTCTCCTCCTCCACGTAATTCTTACAGACAATCTGATTTGATCATAAATCTGATCATTTATCTAAATGAAAGATGGTTTGATCAAGAAATCTGTAAATGGGAGAAGACTTTGGGGTCAATATACTAGCTACTCTACTGTACTTGTCAATGTCAATACACTGTCATGGGCCATGGCTTATGATCCTTTTTGGTTTTGTTTTCTTTTTCCATTTTCTGCATGTGGGGGCTCCCTAAACTAAGTTGTTTCGATCTTCCAAATCTTAGTTCTTAAAACCAAATAGGCATCGAAAATATCAACCCATTTCTCTTGAGTTTTGGAAATAATATTCCATTTATTATTATTGTTATTTAGGTTAGTATCATCGCCTGTTTTTATATATAGGAAATTATTATTATTTAGGATTAATATTGTTATTTGTTTTTATATATAGGTCAATCTTTTAATATGTTTTTAAAATAAGTCTTCGATCTATTTTTATATTTTGAATTGTTTTTTAATTTATCATTCTGATCAACTTTTCAATCAATCATAAATTTATTTTCATATTAACAGATATAAATAATTTATATTAAATAATAAAAATAATTTTATTAAATTACATATTATGTGTAAATCACACACTTAATATCTAATGAATTGGCCAAAAATTATATATATAAACTAAAAAAATGAAGGTGAGACTATTCACTTACTTAGCTCAACACTCATTGTCCCTATTCATTTTTTTTTATTGCTTCTTAGTCCCTCTTTCTTTGAGAAACAAATTAATTAATTCCTTTGATTTGAAAACTATTTTTTTTTTATCCTTTTTACTATTTTACTATTTTTATTTTTTATTTTAAGAAGTAGAAAAAAAATAATTTGGTTTGAAAACTAATTTTTTTATCCTTTTTACAATTTTTATTTTTTGTTTTAAAAATAAAAAAAAGTCATTTTATAAAATAAAAAAATAAATTATTTGTGATCAATGCTTATTAAAAAAAAATTGAATAATTTAATTTTGAAACCAAAAGAATTAATTAATTCATTTCTCAAAATGAGATGAATTAATTTATAGTTTAATTTGCAATTTAAGAATCTCTTTCATCATAAATTAAAAATTTATGAAAACCAAATTTGTAATAGTTTTTATTTTTATTTATTGATTTTAATATATTCTAGACAGCTTAGATGGCTTTTTTTTTTAAAAAAAATTATGTATGTTATATATTCTGAATATATATATATATATATATTAAAAATTAATTATATATTTACATACATAACATCAATTATTTATTTTTTATTTTTTTTGTTCTAAAATTAATATTTTTTAAATAAAATAATTGAAATAACGTTTTAAAAGAACTTTTCAATTATTTAAATATAACTTTTTATATTAATATTATTGATTATTTTATTAATAAATATATACAAATCAAATAATTTTACTCGCAAATGATTTGATTTATATTAATTATAAAAAATAAAATTTTCATTCATATTATATAATAATGTTTATTCGACTGTAGTATAGTATGGCATCCAACTAGTGATTACTAGAAGACTAAAATAAAAGGAGGCACCCTGCTTTTCTTTTCTATTGGTCTTCTTTTTTTTTTTTTTTTTTCTAACATTCTGGTCTTCTCCCTTTGCTTTGAACTCACCAGTTTCTAGCTGTCCAGAAGTATTTTGCTCAATTATAATTTCATTGGACTGAGGTACAAGAAGATAATTATGAGAATGTATAATAAACAAATGACTACCAGAAGACTAAAATAATAAAATAAAAAGGCCAACATATTTATGAGAAAGTATAATAAACAAATGTAGGGTGTTGGGTGTTTGCTTAGACAAAAAAGACAAAAAGCAGGTCTTTCTTTTTATTTTTCTAACCTTTCCTCTGAGCTCCGGCGTTGATATATATATAGATTATCGTAGGATGTTGGGTGTTTGTTCATATGGTGTTACACATTTTGCCAAGTTGCCAACGGCCTTTCCTAATCTTTGTTGCTATCCGACTTTCAATGAACTCTTGAAAATTATTTATTTATATGATTTTAAGATTTTGTCTTAACGAATAATTAAAAAAGAATCGCTTTACATGTAGCTATTTTCAAATCAGTTGCCCGTATAGTTTTCAAAACCAATCACTAGGGAACGCTCAATAATTACATGGTAGTAAGAAAAAAAAATCCTCTTTTTCCTTTAAAAAACACGATTTTATTCATCAGAATAAAATAAAAGTGAACTTTAATTTCCAAAAGTCAAGCTTTGGGCGATATATATTTGAAGCAAATTATAAATTAGTCCTATTTTTTCAAAACAAAGTAAATAATAACTCTCATTTCAAAAACTAATGAATTAGTCTCTATATTATTAAATCTACTTGAACTTGATTTTTTATTATTCTTTAATATATTTTGATTTTTTGTTCTAAGAAATAAAAAAATAAAAAATATGAAGAAGAAGAAGAAAAAAACCAATAACCTAATCAAATAGTGATTAAAAAACGTGATTTTATATTATAAATAATTACGTGGTAGTAAATAAAAAAAAGATTTGTTTTTCCTTGAAAAAACAAGATTTTATTTATGAGAATAAAATAATTAAAAATGGACTTTAATTTTCCAAAAGCAAGGACGATATAAATTCTCCCTTACTAGTTCGTATACAATTGTAAACCTAATTAAGATCTATGCATTGAAAAGTATGATAATATTTTTATATAGAAAAAATAGCATTACACTTAATCAAATGCGGAGACATTTAACATGAATAATTCTAAACCATAACTAAATTTCATAAATAATCAAGTGGGAGTGATTTATTAGATCTGGTCACAATCAATAATATGATCCAGCTGTAAACAGTTTGAATATTTTTTCCAAATATTATAGGACATATGATCCAGCTGTAAAATTAAAAATGGACTTTTTTTTCCTTAGAGTCCACTTTTCTTGAATATTTTTTTGCCTGCTTGTGGTCCACCCAATATATTTTCTAGATTTCTAAATTTTATTGTGCTCGAACTTGAAGAAGTCAATCAATCCTTACAAAAAGAAGACAAAAAAGAAAAAAAGAGGGTTTTGGACTCTATCTAGGAAAATACCTTGAGTCTCTTTTATGTAAATGAATAAAAATAAATATGCCACTATCTGAGGAATATCCTTCGTCTCTTTACGTGTAAATAAAAACACAACAAAATGTGGCTTGGCTGTCTAAGAAATAATCTTCTACTTACTACTCAATGTCATACGAAACTCTCAAAAAAAATTTTATATTTTAAAATCTGCTTTAGAGCTATTTATGATTCATTATCGAGATGCAAATTATTATTAATTTTAAAATCGTCACTTAATATTAAAAGAACTAGAAACCAAAAATAAGCATTGGTTTAGAGATTTTAGGATAAGAAACTGATTACGTTTTTAAAAAATATCGATCACCCAAAAACATCATTTCTTAAAAAAAGTATTACGTCTAGTTTTAACTAAAAGGATTGATAGAATTCAGATCAAAACATAAAGACATATTATAAACATTTGTTTTAAGAAACAGATTTAAAAATTAGCCCATTACATAAAAATAAGTGATTGTATTAATTTTATTATTTATTAAAAAAATCTCAATTTACCAGTAATTGTCTTCTTTTTTTTTTTTTTATGTATTGTTGACACTTTATCTTGTTAAAGACTTAATTCCTTTAATTAATTAGTCCTCCATATATAATTTTTTTTAACAAGTGACAGTTTATACATATGTGTATACGCGTGTGTGTATATATATATATATGGTCTTTTCTTTCTTTTCTGTTTAACTTCTGCATATTACTGCTCTCCCTGCTTTGTTTTGCGGAGGGAAGCATCACCGGACAAAATGTCTATTCTTTGCTATTTATAATAAGTTCAGGAAACGCTGTGACATGTACTTGTGTGGAATCTGAAAATGATGGAGTTGAACAAGTACTAAATAAGTTTTTTTTTCTAATTTATTTATTATTATATCTTAAGGCGGCAACAAGTACTAGATTGGTACTGGACCACTGGAGACGTTATTCGCTGTTACTTCCCCTGATTTATAAAGGTTAGCATTTCTTGATCATATGTAGGTTGCTAAGTACTTAATAAGCTAAAATTTATTAGCTTTTTTTTTTGAAAAACTAAGTTCTTTGCGATATTTAAGAGCATGGGCGGTTGGCAACTTTGCTAATAAAGTCATCAATATGGTACTGATCAATCAAACCTGCTAAAAGTCCAAAACTCATGAATCAAAAACACCTCCAAATCAGTAGATTAGAAGAACACTCAACTTCTGCTTTCCATCACCCAATTT